CGCAACATGGTCATATTGGTAAGAAGACTTAGAGGAACGCACCTAGTCCGGAGTCCATTGTCTGCATGATTATTTACAAAGTTTAACCGTGGACGTGGTACATTCCCAAACATTTCGCCGGCATCGTCAGTGAGTATCACCATTCTTAGCACCATATAACAACTCGTCAAAGAAACAAGTGAAACTGATCCTTGTCTATTTAAAGATTTGTTGCATAGTGCTAAGAATGGCGATACTCACTGACGAGTCCGGCGAAACGTTTGGAAATGTACCACGTCCACGGTTCAACTTTGGAAATTATCATGCAGACAATGGACTCCGGACTAGGTGCGATCAAAGGGGACTGAGGATTCTTATTGTCGTCTGAAGCAGTGGATGCATTAAATTCAGCAACATAATTTTTTTGAAGATATGAAGACCAAGATGGTGTGGCCTTTTGTGTGGTCGCAGTTTCCTTTCGTTGTATAGATGTTGTTTGACCTTGTTTTCGCAACTTGATCATATTGGTAAGAAGACTTAGAGGAACGCACCTAGTCTGGAGTCCATTGTATGCATGAGAATGTCCAAATTCGGACTGTGGAAGTGGTACATTCTCAACTACCTCAATAGGGTGTAGTTGAAACCTGCGAGGTATATGATTACGATTCACCAAACCAGCTCAGTAGTAGCACAAAATAGACAAATTCGAATCTCAAAAGAGCGATAGTTGGATAGACCAGGATGAAATGCTGAGGGTTACCGCAATCGTCCAGCAGAAATTTTTCCATGGAATTCACTTTACTTGTCTCTTCGGTGAGTTCTAGCTTGGGCTAAGACTGGCAAGCTCAAACTGACTATGTCGACTACGATGCCCGCGAAACGTTCGGCTCGATGTATAAGATTATCTTTGCTTCTATTTTAGGGGGTACCGGACAGGGGAAGTTCTTTGATATCGCCCTGACAACACAACTAATTTGGGGAAGTATGGCTAGATCGATTTTATGTAAGGAAAGAAGATTGCGTCCAAAATTAGGACCACACCATCATGCTCTTCATGCCTTCGATTAAATGAACCAAATTCGATCCTGCCACGGCACGTATTCAGGCGTGTTTCGCTTCTCTAATTGATGAAAATCATTTAGTTAACATCATGCTTAGTAGAAATAGTTGTATTTAGTTTGTATTCTAGTTTTATTACCAATTAATGTGTACATACTTGAGTAGATTGGCCAAGTATTTGTTATTTTGTTTTAAAACTTCTTGCGGCAAAAATTAATTGGCCGGCATACAATTATCATAGAAGACTGATATTAATGTTTTTCAACTTCCAGTTCCATCATGCTATTCAAGTTCTTGAACCTACCTTGGCTGAGCACTTAATGTTATGGGTAGTCCTAGTTTTATTAGGGCCTATGTTTTATAACTATTTTAGTCGTACGTTAAGAGCACATACCTCACCCTTACTAGGCATTTTTATGTAATTGAATCTCATTTGGTGAATAACTACATGCAGTAATTAAAGAGCTTATTGGATGGAATTTCATTGACTCCTAAATTGTTAGATATTTGGATGCCTATTTTTATATTAAGCAGCATGGCAAGACTGAATTAGACAGTTTTTTAACTTAATTCGTCTATCAAAAGGGTCAATTTTATTCAACTATCATGTTGAGAAGTAATAGGTTGATAATTTTTAGAGCTCATGGTTAATGGGGTAGGGATGTGTGGAGTAAATTATTCTATGCTGTTTTCAAAAAAATGATTTCGTTTCACATCCCAATATATCTAGCGTTGTTAATATCTCTGTTTAGCTTTCGTAAAGTTCTCCTCTTCTTACATTAAAAGGGAGCTACTTGGGGGGACTTACCTACATATCCCTTTCGAGGGAACTTTACCTTTGTAAAATTTTTGTTGTCTGTCATTAGATTCCAAAGGTCTCTCACTCCGCCTGCCAAATTCGAGCATGATTTCGAGATAAGTGATCCGAACTTGAGTTCCTCTGGAGACCGTTTCCGCCAGACCGCTTCTGATAAGCAGAGCCAGCTGGAGCACAAGGTCAAGGAGTTGTTGGGCGCATCATCAACCTGGGTCGAACATGAAGCTCAATCTCGAACCGCTAGAAATTCAAGCTGTAACCTTTCTGACCAGTATACTAAAAACGATTTACAGGGCGCGAGTGCCACTACAGCTGATAAGCTTTCCTATTCCCCATCTGCTGTGATTTCTGATCCAGAAGAATCAAGTTCATTATTCCCAGAAGCCGGAAATCCATCCAAATCGCCGGAAAAGCAAAACATCTTGACGCCAGTTGGAGCGCCTTGTGGTCTCTTCTTATGCACTCATCGATTGGCCACCCTGTAAGTTATAGTAAGCTACCAGCTACTTATTTCCACGAAATTACACTTGCTAGTAGTATCCTCATTAAAGTAGCATAAAACGTTTGATGAATATTTTTTCTCCTAGGCAAACCTGGATAGTCCCTCGACTTACAATTAATATCCAATGACTTATAAACACTCAGAGGACGCCAGGCTTTTGGACTTTGTCCATTTGCATATGTCTATCTATCAATCAGATATAAATAGTTCTTATTTTCGTATTTGAGTAGAGTTTAGAGACTACCAGTAAATCAGTAATATGAGAGGTATTCTACTAACAGTCCTTCATTATCTTAAACGAAATAGGGTGAATATCTCTCATAAATAGTTCTTGCTCAACTTAATACCACGTTCCTCACAAGTATTTTTGTTTTCCCCCAATCTTTGTCGAAAAGTCCGGCATGTCTCACCAAAATTAGGTCAAACACAGAAACACGCAATCTTGTAACATCCAGATCTCGACAGTGAGTCC